CGTTGCTTGAATTTGCTACTGCACACGATATGGTGGTCACTAACTCCGTCTTTAACAAAAGAGATGTGAACTTGATTAAGTTTCATAGTGGGGGACATTGTACCCAAATCGACTATATCCTGGTTCGAAATCGGGACCGATGGACTTGTATTGACTGTAAGGTGCTACCTGAAGAGGCATGTGCATCACAACACAGATTGTTGGTTTTGGTGTTCCGCGTACGCCACGGGAGGAACACTCATAAAAGGACTAAACTAGGTAATCCAAAGATACTTTGGAAGAACTTACATGGAGCGACAGCTGATGACTTTAAGAGTAAGGTTTTGTCTCATACAGGTTTTGGAACTACAAACTCAAATAATGCAGATATGTTATGGAAAAATATGGCAAATTCCATCAGAGAGGTGGGTAAAAACACCCTTGGGTTGTCGACAGGGAGGGTCAAGGAACATAAAGAATCGTGGTGGTGGAACGACGAAGTACAAACTAAGGTGAAGACAAAGCAAATTTGCTTCAAGGAGTTTCTACAATACAATGACGACGAAGAAAGATTGAGAGCTAAACAAAGATACAAGGAGGCAAAGCGGGAAGCCAAGAATACAGTGGCTAAAGCAAAGGATAAGGCATACGAGGAAATGTACAAGAGATTAGACACCAAGGAAGGACAAAACGATATTTTTAGGCTTGCAAAATCCAGGGAGAATAGGAAAAAGGATCTAGGTAGCATTAGGTTTATCAAGGATAACAATGGTGTTCTTTTAGTGAAAGATCATGATATTAAGAGGGGTTGGGGTAATTACTTCCTCGGATTATTTAATGACGGTGCCTCTCCCTGTAGAGAAAATACCATTGATGGATCAGCCGACCATCATACTACGGCCAATGACTTCCCTACAAGTAGGATTGAGATTGAGGAAGTCAAAATGGCTCTTAGAAAGATGGGGAGGGACAAAGCTGTCGGTCCAGATCAAATTCCTATCACTGTGTGGCTGGCCCTAGGAGAAGATGGAGTTAAGTGGTTGACCAATATCTTTAATATTATTTTAGAGACTGCCAAGATGCCAGAGGAGTGGAGAGAGTCTACGGTGATACCAATCTATAAGAATAAAGGAGATCCCCAACGTTGTGGTAACTATAGAGGTATTAAACTACTCAGTTATACCATGAAGCTATGGGAAAGGGTGATAGAGGCTAGGATGAGACAGATTACTAGGATTTCGGAAAACCAATTTGGCTTTATGCCAGACAGGTCTACTACGGAGGCGATTCATCTACTTCGACGGCTTATGGAGAAATATAGGGGAAAAAAATAGAGATCTTCACATGGCGTTCATTGACCTTGAGAAGGCGTATGATAGCGTTCCCCGCAATACGATATGGAAGACCTTGGAAACGAGACAGATCCCAACAGCTTATATCCGGGCGATTCGTGATATGTACTGTAGATCTACTACATACGTCAAGACTACAGTTGGCGACACCGAGGCTTTTTTCGGTGGAAATCGGACTCCACCAGGGGTCTGCTCTTAGCCCTTACATCTTCGCCTTGATTATGGACGACATCTTTTGTGTGACACCAGACGGTGTTCCATGGTGTATGCTTTTCGCTGACGACATTGTCCTAGTTGCTGAAACAAAAACTGAACTGAATAGTAGACTGACTTCCTGGAAGATTGCTTTGGAAGAAAAAGGTCTAAGGATCAATATTGAAAAAATAGAGTATTTATGTTCAAACTTCAGTGGGAACCAAAACGATGAAGATCTAGAAGTATGCATAGAAGGACACGTTCTCCCCACAAGGGATTGTTTCAAGTACCTGGGGTCTATGATACATAAAGATGGGGGTATAGATGATGACGTTACACACCGTATAAAGGCGGGATGGCTAAAGTGGAGGGCTGCAACTGGAGTTTTGTGTGACAAGAAGGTGCCTCTAAAACTTAAGGGAAATTTTTATAGAATGGCAATAAGACCAGCGCTGCTGTATGGATCAGAATGTTGGGCAATCAAGAAGGATCATGTAAGGATGATGGAGGCCGCAGAAATGAGAATGCTTCGATGGACATGTGGTAAAACTCTGTGGGACATGACACCAAACTCTGCAATTAGGATGTCCTTGGGGGTGGTTCCTGTATCCGAAAAATTGAGAGAGGGGAAGACTACGGTGGTTTGGGCATGTCCTTAGGCGACAAACGTCAGATACGGTCAGGAGGGTAGAGTCGATTACACTCGACGGTGCCATAAAGAGAGGACGACCAAGGAGGAAGTGGGTAGACTGCTTGAGATCTGATCTGAAGGAATTAGCCCTTACCGAGGACATGACCTCTGATAGAAAAGTATGGAGACTTAAGACCAGGGTAGTTGAGTAGTGTGGGTCACAACCATAGGGTGTAGCATCTCTGTCTCCTTTTAACGCCTTCGTAGTAATCTCCATGACTTCTACTTTTTATACGTTTCTGTTATTAGATTTTATGAAGGCTTAGAACTAGGATAACGGAGTATTGTTGCCTTAGTTTAGATTTTAAACCATTTGACTTTATTCCTTCTCGTAGCTTGCTATCGCTGACTCCTATGTATCCTTATCTTCATTTTTCCTCTTTTTATATTTAACCGGGACTTACGTTTCTGTCTATAAGCAGAGATTTTTACGCAGGGATTTATTTGCAGGGATTTACTAACCATTACAGACGCAGATATGAAGACAGCATATGGAGACTATTCAACTATGTATTTATTGATTTATTTATGCATGCATTGTATCTTATCTTTATTTTTAATTTTCTTACTGTCAGAGGTCTTCCACGGAAGCTGCTCTCAATCTGGCGTTGGAGGCAGCCTACTACCCCACCTCCTCCTTACCTCATTGCATATGGGAATATGGTTTTGTTGTTGTTGTTAATATTTTGATTAAAATGATATTAAAATATTTATTAATATTAAGTTTATAAAATAAAATTATTTTGAGTTTTTATTTAAGTGAAAAGTTCGGAAACCAGAAAACACAAAAGAAATTTTGTTGACCAGAAAAATATTTTACGTTAACCAGAAAAATATTTTACGTTAATCAACCAATTTTCCTCTAATCAAACACTAAAAAATATTTAAAATGAATTACATGAAATAAACACAAAAAAATATTTAAAAAAAATAAATTACATGAAATAAATACGATTCAAGAAAAATTAATTCCGTAGTTAATTTTCGCCGAACAATTAGACCCTTATTTTTTTCTTTGTGACCGGCACGTTTATTTAGAAACGGTTTGCATACGTTTCACTAAAACTTGAGAAGTCATTTTCAATAAGGGAAAATTACAAATTTAATAACTTTCATATAAATTTTATTTTACTCTAGGTACTTTTAAAAAATTTAATTTTTTACTAAATTTTATAGATTGAGTTTTTTGGTCACTTTTCCGTTAAACTTCTCATACCATTATGACGTTGCTTGGAAAAATAGTTTTTTAATCGTTAAATACCATAGATGTCGTGACAGGTCACAAAATAATAAAGGGTAAATTACTAATTTGATAACTAAATTCTTATATGATTTTTATTTTACTCGTCGTACTTTCAAAATTTTCAATTTGCTCACTCTGTCGTTAAACTTCTCATCGTCAACGATTATCCACAGCTGCCCTCATTGTCAAACCTATCTTCGAACAACGATGGCTCGCATTGCCACCTTTAACAGCACCGACATCGCCTTCCGATCAAAGCCCTACCCTTCACCATTTATGAAAGCCTATCGTTTATTGTAAAATCATAAGAAATTGTTCGATGACCCGTCATTGATCTCATTCGTCGTTTGAGGGTGATCGTCACTACCAATACCTATGTGAGCGTCAGGCCAATGTGACCAAAACCCTAGTGGCCGATCTTTAAGGCTCCCCGTCGTATGTTGTAGAGAAACTGTTGAAGGGTTGTAGAGAAACTTTTGAAGGGTTGTCGAGAAACCAAAACTTCCCATCAATTTTAGTCGATTTTCGGCCACCTCGACCGTCCGTTTGTCTTACCACCACCACTGTTTAAGTCCTCTCCTCTTTCCGATCAAAACCTAGTAGATTTTCCCTTTCACCGTCACTATCTCTGTTCGAACTTAAACTCGACGCTGTTTTCCAGCCTCCTTGGCCTTCCATACATCTAACCCCAACTCACCTCGTCTTACACCAATTAAAAGACCATTTTTCTAAGCCACTTCATAATATCGTGAGAAGTTTAACGGCAGAGTAACAAAAAACTCAATCTATAAAATTTAATGAGCAAATTGAAAATTTTGAAAGTAAACTGAATAAAATAGGAATCATGTAAATGTTCATTTGTCAAATTTGTAATTTACCCTTTCAATAAAAATCTGCTGCATAGACAGACTGTTCATAGTCCCTTGGAAATGAAGGCGAAGTCAGAAAGCTCATCAATGCTATTGAGGACTAGGGACAGCTTCACCTATTCCTGTTTCAAATCAATAAAATATCCAAAGAAAGATTCATGTAAGACAAAAGGTTTTTGATGATTAAACTATTGTTTGACAGTGACCTGTTTTTGCTGACCAGAGAAAGTCAATTACATCTATACCGTTTTAAAATAATCTAATTAACAGTTGTTTTTAAATAATATTTAGAATATTTATTTTAAAAAAATTAATTTAAAACAAATTATCTCCTTTTTTATATAAAAAATAGAGATATTCTTTTTAGAAGTACAGACTTATCCAAAATAGTTACATTTAAAGCTTAATTTGTATCGACATATATATATATAATTAAAAGTTTAAAATTTCAAACACTTAATTCTTCAATTATTAACTTCTTTAATAGCTTAAAATATTATAAAGTAATATATGTAAAAATTATTTATTTCACAATTAAAGTCAATAAATGGATTCTAATTCTTCGTATTATCAAAGGGCATATTGGAACAAAAACAAATAATATGGTTTTAATTGCAAAACTTTTAAAATTGCAGGTACACAAAAAAAAAAGGCTTGTGATTGTAAAAGGCATAGCTCAAAGCTTTCTAATTAACATACTGTGTTTTTGCAAGGAGAAACCGACACCAATCCCTCTTGTGAGAATACACAAGTAGAGCAGAAGAAAAAAATTTAATAAAATCCATTTGAGTGTGTAAAGTAAATATAGGAGGGGACAGTATTTTAAGCCCAAATAGCCAAGAGAGACATCAGAGTAGCCCCTAGAAGAAGAGAAACACTTGCTCCAACTTGTAGTAATCCATTGTTCTGCAACTTTGGGTTCATGAAATCAGCAGCCAGAAGATCCACCAGCGCCATGTATATTAGGATCCCGGCTGATGCTGCGTTCAACAACCCTTCCACGATAAGCGCGGTCGAGCTGCTCTCGTCATATACGTTTGTTATTCCTATTCCTATTGCTATTCCCACCGGCGTTGTCAGCGAGAAAAACAGTGCCATGATCGTCACTGCTCGACACTTGAATTCCGCCTACATAATATTTCATCATACAATGAAAAGTATGACTCCAATGTAAACAAGCAGAAAACCAAGGGGCTAAACATAAACATACGTATTATTGTTACCTGGGAAATGCATCCACCAAGTCCCATGCCTTCAAAGAACTGATGAAAGGTGAGTGCAGCCACCAATGGCCTTATCGTCTTTGGACTTTCAGAAGCACCCAAAGATATCCCTATGATCACCGAGTGCACCACTATTCCCAATTCCAAAACCTGTAACATCAGGTACATCTATCAGATTTTGGTTTCGTTGAGTGATTTTATAGCGATTTCATGTAACAATGATTTCAGACAGAATCATTATCGCTATATAAAGGCCACTATTCTAATAGCTAATCGTTATTTAAATCCCTGTTCATGAAAAAAAAAGAAAACAAATACCTGAGATACTACTCGGTGCCGAAGGAGCTGAGCTGAATCCGAAGGCTGAAGCATAGAAACGGAACCATGAGCATGGCCATGAGTGGCATGAGTATGAACCGGCAAATGATTTTCGTTTTCCCCTGTTTTCTCTTCATCACCACCGTCGCTCTGTTGGGTTTTATGGAGGTGAGACTTGGTGTAATGAGACGTAGCAAACACATCGATCATCAATGTACCGATGGAAGCAGCCATCGCCACGAGTCCGGCGAACGGAAACTTCCCCCAAGGATTCTCATTGAGGCAAGGAGACGTTAAGTTCTCTGTAGCGTCAGGAAGAACATGGATGAAGCCGGTGGACAAAATGACTCCGGCGGCGAAGGATTTGATGATAAAGAAGATGTTTTTCTCCGGACGTAAAGCCTTGACGGTTTTCCCAAGCATAGGGAAGCAAACACCGATGGCTCCGGCGACGAGGATGGAGGCTATAGCAGCCATCTTCAATTTGAGGGCTTGAGACTTGTCCCGATCTTCATCTTCGGGTTCGCATGTGCAGTCCCCTCGTACAAGGGAGGGAATTAGGGTTAGAAAGCAGCAAAGAAATGTGAAGGATTTTAAGTGGATCATGGCTGCAAACGAGGAAGACGAGTTTGATGTTTGAAGAGACAATGTAGAATCAAATATATATACATAAAGCGTAAAGTCTTAGCAGATCTGAAATCATCGAGGCCTATGATCTGGGCTTTCATGCGGCCGGATCCGGTTCGGTACTAAAATCCGTAAGGGTTAATTACACGGATGATCATTTATATTTGTATTTTGTCCACTTTTGATCACTGATTTTAAAAAATGTAAGATATAATCACTTTCATTTTTATTTAATTAAGATGTGGTCACCCCGAGTTAAATGTCGTTAACAATAATTAAATATTTTAATATAATCACACTTGATCCCTTCTATTTATATATTCTCTCAAGTTAATCATACTTTTAATAAATCAAAATCAATTTGATATTCCAATCAAATGATATAACATGTTATGTCACACGTCTCCATTCGGTTGGAGGAGTAACTTTATTTTAATTTAATATATTTTTTCCACCAATCAAAGAATAAAATGTGTTACCCTCTAGTTAAAAGAAAACAAAGGAAAACAAATTGGGACAAAAAAAATTCAAACCTTGGTCACTTATGAAACTAAACATATATCCAACCATTAAACTAAGACTATTGCTTGGTCTAAACTATACAACATGGTGTATAAATTTTGTATCTTAATGTATAAATACTTAAATTCATAATATTTTTATATATTAACTTATTAAATATTTTTTATTGATTTAATTTAAAAACAATTTTATTTTATTTTCATTTAAAAATATATATTTTATGTTAAAATTTATTTAAAAGTGTGATTAAATTGAGAGAATATGTAAATAACAGGGACTAAATATGTGATTATACCAACTATCACATCACATATTCTGTCAATTATTGGCAACAGTTAACTCATGATAACCACATCTTAATTAAATAAAAACGAAAGTAACCATATCTTAATTAAATAAAAACGAAAGTGGCAATTTCTTATGTTTTTTAAAATCAATAACCAAAAGTGGACAAAATATAAACATAAATGATCATTATTGTAGTTATCCCAATTTGTAATCATGAAAAATAATTAATGACGTATTATTCCAACATATAATCCATGGATTTTGGCATTTGATAAATTATTAAAAATATTAAAATTTATGAATTATTCTCTTTTTGATAAAAAAAATATTTCAATATTATTATTATTTGTTAAAAAAATCTGTACCGGATTTCCTCGTTGACTTAAAATGAGAGATTTCCATGTGAGAAGACAGAAGACGAATATAAATATGTCGAAATAATGTCGACATAGGAAGAAATTTCAAAGCATTCTCATTGTCACATGCTTCAAATTGCTAAAATTAAATTAGAGTATCGATATTTTTCTTTCTTTTTGGGAATTTTCTTGTTGACAAGGTAGATATATCGACATTATAATTGCAAAATATAACCATGCTATATTGGCATCTATAGTTTCGTTTCCTTAATTGAAATATAGAAAACCTTAACTTTATATAAAGAAAAAATAACTTCAGTGACCAAAAATGCCTTATAATATACGATTTTAACCAACTTTTTTTGGATTTGCCAAAATGACCAACTAAATCGCAATGCGATCGATAATTCGCAACGCGATCTCCGGTATCGCAAATCAGTTTCCAGATTCGCAACGCGATTCTGACTATCGCATTGCGATTTCCCAAATTCGCGTTGCGATTTTCCTAATTCGCAATGCGAATACGTAAATCGCAACGAGATTCTGACTATCGCAATATTGAATTTCAAATTCGCAACTCGATTTCTGAATTCGCAACAGGTTTTAATTTCGCAACACAAATGTTTTGGGTATATAATTACGCAGCAGCAACAACTCATAACCTAAATCCCTAAATCGCAACTCATTCCATCTCCATCTATCACTCTCTCTGGCGACATCCATTCCTATATCCAACGACATCATTCCCCATCCGGCAACAGGTTTTAGTTTTGCAGCTCATTTGTTTAGTAAATTAATTTACAATAATGAAATCATCTAATGTTGATCATGTTTGGATAGATTTGTGTTTTGGAGGGTCATGGGAGAATGTTCATGGTGTTTTACAATATATGCCTTTACCCATGAATCTTCAACTAAAACTGTCATTAAAAAGGTTAACTTATGAAACTCTAATGTTACGTGTTGCAAATTAATTGAATTTAGAGCCCCTAAATGGATTTAGGCTATATTATCAGAGAAATGGTAAAGTTTATTTGTTAACCGACAATGAAGATGTTGAACGATTCATTGCTTACATTAGTGTTTCAAGTGATGATGTTACATTGTATGTTGTTAAACCTAGAAGTAGTGAAGTTGGGTCAGTAGCGGGTAGTAATCAACTAAGTTTTTCAACCCCAGTTTATGGTGCTCAAAATTTAATGGTTCCACCACAATTTCATCACCAAGCAAATATTGTTTCACCACATTTCCAATACCAAACACAATCTCAAAACCCACAACCTTTCCCTAATCCAAATCCCAATCAACTTTCAGCACAAAATTCTGGTTTTCATATTGACCAGTTAGACGATGATGAGCCAATAGAAAAAATTGTGAGTACTAGTCAGTATTCGAAATTTGATCTTGGTCAATACCCGGACATTGATCTTGGTCAATACTCGGATTTTGATGATTTTTCAGAAGAAGAAACAGACCCTGCGTGTAATGATTTTGATATTGGTCAATACCCGAATTTTGATGATAAAACAGCCGTTGCCGAGGAAGATGTTGTTGATGATAATGAGGAGGAAGTTACGACTGTAAATGAACATGTTGAACATCCATTCTGTAATTCATATAACACTGAAGAAGAAAAAGAAGAAGAAGAAATCCACAAAGAAAAGTCCCCGAAGAAAATGCCACGGGAGTATAACTGGAATATGCCAGAATTACTTCAGATACCGGAAGAAGAGTTGGTAAAGATAGTAGTTGATTGTTACACAAAAATTATTCGTATCAAGAAAAATGATTTTTTTGATACAAAGGAAGGCTTGAAGATAGCTTTGTATACGAAATACGTGGAAGATGGCTATCAACTAAAAGTTAACAAATCAAGCAAAGATCGTTTCGAAACATGGTGTATGATTGACAAAAACTGTATGTGGCGTATGATTGCAAAGAGGATAAAAGATTGTGCAACGTTTCAAGATAGGACTTTTATTGATAAACATACATGTTCAAGAACCCAAGTTTTTCCTCACCATAGACAGGCAAACAAAAAGATGTTGGGTGGTTTTCTGGCTGAGTTAATGTTTTTGAATGGTAGGGTATATCGGGGACATGAAATTATGACTGACATGAATGCTCGGTTCAAGATTAGTATCTCATATTCTCAAGCTTGGAGAGCCAAATGTTATGCCTTGGAATTGTTGAGGGGGTCGCCAGAAGCATCGTTTGCCCAACTGCCGGCTTATTGTCACAATTTAAAGCTGAAAAATCCTGGGTCGGTAACTCATATCAAAACAGATAGAGATGGACGCTTTGAGTTGCTGTTTATCGCCATTGGTGCTGCGGTTAGTAAATCAATATAATTTTGTTGACTCATTTTTGTTAGTTACATGCATTTCACATTTAAATGATTATATTTCTTGTGTATATGATTTTGTAGATTCGTTCGTTTATTAATTTCATGCGCCCAGTTATTATAGTTGACGGAGCACATTTAAAAGGTCGATACCTTGGAGTAAACTTATTAGCAGTAACCATGGATGCTAACAATGGGATACTGCCAATAGCTTACGGGGTTGGCAAAACCGAAACCTATGATTCATGGACATGGTTTATGGGGCATCTTAGGGATTGCATAGGTCCTATTAGCAATCTGACAATCATATCCGATAGGGGAAACTCAATTGACAACGCTGTTAGAAGGTGTTTCCCAGATGCTTTTCATGGACTTTGTGGTGTTTATTTGTATAGAAATCTAAAATCAAGGTCTGCTGGTATAAAAAATCACAAATGGACATACTGGAAGGCTGTAAAAGCTTATCGGGAAGTGGATTTTAATAAGCATATAAACTGTTTAAGACGTATTTTGTCTCAGTGTGCTCAAACACTAGAATATGTCGGGTTTGAAAAATGGTCAAGAGTACATCAACTTGGAGCAAGATATGGTTTCATGACGTCTAATAGTGCAGAATCAATCAACGCTCTAAGTCGTCATTCCCGAAAATTACCCATTACTATGTTAATGGAGTTTTTTCGAGCCTCTATTCAACAGTGGTACTACAAGAAAAGAAACCATGCATGTATTATTTCTTTAAATTCGTAACTTATCATATATTTTACTAAGTATTATTTATTTAAATTTACAGGAACATTGGAACATCGTGTTACACCATGGACAGAAAAAAAGATAACGAAACGTGTTGTAAAGTCAACGTCTTGGAGAGTTGAACCATGTTCAAACACTTTGTTTGAAGTACTAGATAATAACTTAAATGGCCTTGTTTATCTAAATGCAAAGACGTGTAGTTGTATGAAATGGCAAACATCTGGTTATCCGTGTGGCCATGTTATAAAAGTTTCTCTTCATCTAAACCAAGATGATTCAAGCGCATACGCTATGGATTGCTACACTACAGAAGTATATCGACAGACTTATGGCGAGATTGTCTACCCTATTCCACATCCTTCTGAGTGGGACATACCAGATGACTTACAAACAGTTTTGCCACCAGCCATGGATAGAAGGCTACCTGGCCGACCAAAAAGTCACGATCGTATACCGTTTAAGGATGAAGAGGAGAAGAGATCGACATGTAGTCGGTGCAAGGAAAGTGGTCATACAAGGTTGACATGTGGATCACCAGTGCCATCACAATCATCTTTTCCTCTACCAAAATATGGATCCTCATCAAAATCCAAAGCTCATATGGTGTCAAGCAAAAGGCAATCAAAATCGCAATCATCTTTAAAATCTCAATCACAACCGGCTTCACCTTTTGGGACTGTTAACTTAGGTGATTTTTAAATGCAAACGTTGTATTATGTGGATTTTATGTGTGAA